CACATAATAGAAATCAATAGAAATTCAACTAATTGTTATTCGTTGTTTTAATTCAGCCAAACTATTTATAACAAGTATATAGTATAATAATATTATTCGATAAAATTTTTCCTGATGACGTATTATTCAAACGTAAACCATTTAATTGTTACAGTAAAATTTGGTCATCGTGTACGTTTCGGATGATGTCCACAATGACATGTATTTTTAACGTATCGCTGTATAGAAAAATTAAATAGTCAAGTAAATACCTGAAAGTATAAAAATTAATTTTAATCCTTACTTAACTTTTAATTTACTTTTCCAAACGAAAAGTTAGTTATATTATACGATTCCATTTAGTAAATTTTTATATAACACATTTTCTAGAATTTTTTTAATGCAAACTATTAGAGCTTATAATTATTGTTAGGATAACACATATAATATGCCAAGCTCTAGAATAGAACCTAATTTTATATTTAATAAAAGCGAATCAATTTATAAAAATAAATAAATATTTTTACAATTTAAACATGATTTATTCTTAATTAAACAATTATATATTTATAATTTAATTTAAAATTAATTTTGAAAACTAGACTATTATTTGAACCAGCTTGCTACCCAGATGATACGTTCTATATTATGTGTTCTATCTAACCTATTGTTGGAGTGTAGTTTATTGTCTATTGTGGAAATTATATCGCCAGTATGAATAGTTTTTATAGGAATAAGTCGAACTTAAATTTTTACGATTTCAAATTTAATCATTTTCTCAAACTTTTTGTACTTAAACTTCAATTCGAACTTTTGAACTTTAAAAATATATCCATGACAAATTTTGAAAATAAATATAGCAGCAAAAGGTGGGAAAGTAGGTAACTACTCTTTACTATATAGTAGGAGTCATCGAATATACCTCGTCATTATAGAGTAGGTCACTGTAGTGATGATGGGTGTGTTAAATTTGAATTCAATAATAAATCATTGCACACGAAAAACAATTTTAATGGGGGACGATTTGGCAGTCTATATTCTTATAAGTATATTTTATGATATGTTTATATTGCTACAATAGAAATTGTTTTACTATTGATAATACAGATATAATAAGTAATAATTTAAAATCAATCTAAATATTTTGAGTGTTATTGTGTATAGCAAAAATATAATTATATGCGTACAAATATCAAATATCCTCAAATATTTTTTGCAACAAAAAATAACTAAAATTGTTATTTATTCTGCTTAAATTCCAAATAACTTCAAAAATTCAAATTCAAATTTCTTAAAAAAAAAAATGTATCATTATATTTTCTAGATTTGTGGGTTTTTGTAAGAAATACTTATGAGGAACCTTGTATTAAATTTACAAGCTTTTAGACACATAAATTAAATATTTTATAAATTTTTAACTAAAAAATAATTTTAGAATTTCGTGGAAATTTAAACCTAAAACGCTTATAAAAATATTTTATTAAATGATTAAAATAACAACTTATGTGAGATCTTGTGTTAAATTTTCAAGGTATTAGATCAAAAGTAATTTTTTATTACAATTTAGTAATAATATTCTGAGTATCTATAATGCAAATTCAAATTATTTTTTTTTAATTACCTATATCATCATATATAGAAAATTCTAATACAAACTTTTGTTAAAAATATATTTCAATCATCTACTTTATTAGCTTTTGAATAACAAACAACAAAAAAAGAAAATTAATTTCATCAAAAATTCCTGATTTTCTGTATAAATTTTTTTTAGTTTTTTTTCTAATTATTAAAAAAAAATACTTAGTATTTTTGAATTTTAATTTCTCTCCCCCTCTCAAAAAGATATTTTAGTCGAAATTGATTATTTTTACTGTAGCAAAAGTTGATGACAGACACAAAAATATGTAAAAACTTCTGTCGTTCCGCTCAAAATTTATAATGAACATCTAAGAGCAACAATATTTGTAAGTAAATTCACTTAACATGTTAATAAATGTTAAAGTTATTATTTTTAAGCTGCTAATTATAGTTACCATTAAGCTGTGTCCAGACTTGCATACATATAATATCATAACTTACAGAAAACTTTTATTATATATATTTTCGAAAATACCACTGAAATTTGATTACATTAGTTTATTCGCTTTTAAAGATATGTCAGAAATATTGTAGTCGGTAAAATGGCTCGTGGTAGGTCATAGGTAATGTTAGGGGAAAAAATAAAAAAATTTATGCTATCTAAGTCATTACATAATATCATAATAATATTTATTAAATTATAAGTTCATACTATTTTCTAGGGGAGAGACAAGTGCCCTGTCTTAATACTTCCCTCCCACAATTGGCACTTATGGTTGGTACCTATGTTCGAAACTTTATATTGTGTATTTTTATTATTATTATTATATTACATCATTGAAAAAAAGTATGCAAAGATTATTGTCTATTGGACACCCCCACTGGTGATTTTTTACAATATATTAATAAGTTTAATTATATTAATACTAACTACACAGAAATTCAGTGAAGATCATGTTGATTAATAATTTATTTTTACATTTATATGTGTGTATAAAGTACATGTTATGGTCAAAGAAATTCTTTGGTTCTACGATGTTCGGATATAATAAAAAAATAATTGGTAAAAAACACATCATTATACCTTGCTCTTGCGTCCCCTCCATATTTAACAGTAGGTACTAACTTTTGCTATAATTTGTATTTGTACATTAGAATATAAGCGTCAACTTCGGTAGAACTAAAACTAATAATTATTAATATTACTAGTACATATTTACAATAATTTACAACTCAAGTATCATTATAATACATACGATATACCAAAAATTTTTACTAAATGAAGTTTTATATTGATATAGAAGAAAAATAATACATTTGACATTATTTAATGTGAAACATGAAACAATATTAATCGAATAATTGCATACGCTTGTGTCAGTTATGTTGGTATAAATATTTTAGATTAAAAATTATTGTGAGATATAAAAATGCTATAATCTATAATTTAAAATATAGATACTACTACTACTAATACTACTAATTTATAATGATTAAAATAATAATATATTATGTATAATGTATATTATGAATTAATAAATTATATGTACCTACCTATAACGCATTATATATAATATAAAAACTTGTAGATGACATAATGTAGCATATTACTTTAAAATTTAAAATAATGATGAACCATTTCAATAAAAACGTGTACAGATGTACACTGTGTTACCTAATACCTTTTAACTTGGTGTTAATGGGTTAATGTAATAAGATATTAATATATATTATAATATAAGTACATACCTACATTTATAATTTTAAAATTATTGGTTAGATATAATTAACAAAATTGTTGTTAAAAACTTAAAACTATATTAATATTACAATTATATCGGATGATTCTTAAATCAAGAAACACTCATTCTTTTAAAAACTATTTAAGTTTTAGAAAATATTTATTTTACATGATTATAGGTTATTAGAAAACAAGATATTTAAAAAAATATATATTTTTTTATTATATAATTATTATACTTTTTTCTTTTTAATGACATATTTTCTAAGTCCTTCGATTTATAAAAATCGAATTTTGGAAAAGTATTTAAAATTAATGAGCGGAGTGAGTGGGATCGAAGTTAGTACTTTGCAATGTTCGACAATGTAGCTCATCTAAATTTTAAATTCTTATAATTTAAAAATAGTGAGTGTTCTCCGATAAAAGAATCAACAGGTATATTAAAAATAAATAATATACATCCATTTACATATATGTACAACATAATATAATCGACAGCCTTATAACGACAAAATAAATTAATAAAACAAAAAAATAAATGGTATTAAGCCAAGCGTGGTCTATAATCGATAAACATCCAATTTCCAATCATTTGGCTATATAAAATGAATAAATATGAGTTCTATTAATCTATTATATTTTAAAAAAATTATTAGAGTCGTAAAACAAATAAAAAATAATTATTTTTTCACTAATTTCTGTTTAATATTCAATTGAAAATTATACTATATACTCATTTATAGCTAAATAGTTAATAAGTAACAATGAACTCTCGTGAAAATGATTATCGTTTACAATATGATTTGTGTTGTGAAGGTGTTCATGCATATTAAATTAAAAAAACATATTATGTGACAAAAATAGAATTATATTATCATTATACGATTATATAGATGCAAATTGTCTAATACATATAATTAGGTACTAATATTAAGCATAAAAAACAATCATTTAAAAAATGGACTATTTTGAGTTAGATTAACTAATAATTATTACTATAAAAATTATAGTTTAAATATCTATAAATAATTTTCAAATTAATTATTGTGCAATATCTAACATGCATAGATTTATTTTGATTTCCTTTTCAAAAATAATGCGTATATTATATATTTTTTCAAATTTTTATTTTAAAGATGATAAGAGTATTTAAGACATTTTAAATGTCTTGTTCACGGCTAAAAACTACAATTTAAATTTTATAAATTTCAATATAATAACTAAAACCGTAAGAAAGAAGTATTAATATTTTTATTTTTTCGTTTAAGTATCTAATTTCATCGAAATTTAAACTTGTTTATAATAATTTGAAATAATTGTATGTATAATAATTCAAAGATAAGTTTGTTATTAAATATTCAAGTCTTATTGTTATAAATCAAATTCAAAATTTTAGGAATTTAACTACCAAATAATTTGTAACTACAAAGTATATAAAAAAAAAATATGTATATCAAATATTTTCGATATTTTTTGATTTATAAAAGAATAATATCTATGAAATACATCAAATTACATTTATTAGCTATATTTAACTGAAAAAAAAAATTCACTCCTCCTCCTGTAAGTAAAACCAAAATTCTGGCTACTGCTTATACTATATATTGATATCAAAATATGAGTAAATAGGAACGAGTATACTTATACTAAATAATTACATATCAATATATTATTATATCACGATGAATAATAGTATACTCACAGTTGTGGCATTTTGTTCGCAATCGCATGAATGAAAAAAAAATCCCTTCGGGAAAAGAATTCGTTTAGTCTCGGTAATGAAAAAAAAAAAAAACTCTTAATGTCAATTTGTTTTACAGTAGATTCACGAGCAAACCACCGCTGATAATCGCAATGTTAAATGAAGAAATCCGCCAAGACTTATACCGTATAAGATGTGTCAAACACGTGGTGTACGAGCGACTTGTGATTCGAGTGTGAGTGCACAACGACACAGCTGCTACCTTTCGAGCGTTCACCGGTCGACTGAAGACGCTCGTCTAGCAGATCAACTACATAGTATATTATCATGATACATACATATAAATAAATATATTATATATGTGTGTGTGTGTGTGTTTATTAAAATCGTTCAAACGAAACCCGGCGCGTGTTAGTACTACGATGACGCGGTCATCGCGACAAAATGACGGGTGTGTAGATACATATTATACTATAGGTACCTTAACTATTACTATTTTGATTATTATTATTATTATTTTATGGATATTTTAGGTACATAATGTAAATTGTAATATAATATTATATTATATACATAAGCGTGCATTTATCTGGGTCAAGCATGATGCCGGACGTTCGATTCGGAACCGGTTCCGTGACACTGTGGCCTATAAAACCGATTTTTCTCGGATGCGCCCAAATGGTCTTTTAGTTTTTACGTATGCATAGATACATAAATATGAGTTCATATTATAAATGTATTACGACTTTAATCGATTTAGAAGTGGTGGACAGTACCTAATATTAAATACTAATAATATTTTTATTGTCACGCAACAGTCACATTTAACGATACGCGGACGCAAGAAGACGACATTGTAATTATATAGGATCCCTGCTGTAATACATAGATGGAAATCGGAGGGCCTGAGCCCCCCCCCCCCCACCCAAAAAAAAAAAATAAATAAAAATAAAACCAATTTCTGTAAATGTCTTATACCTCCTGAATATATCAAGTATCTAAATATTTAATAATTATTGTCATAATTGTATTTTAATTATATTTGAACTAAATAATATACTAAAAAAGGTACGATTTTACAAATTTGTCATTAGATATAATTTCAGTCAGTCAAAAGCACTGTAGCGTTTTTTATCAGTAGTCATTCGCATTGAACCATTCTTGTTTCGATAAAAAATAAAAATACGTATTGATATACTATTTTCAACTAATCCATTTTTTTGACTGAATAAAAATAAAAAATGTTGGAAAGTGAATATTGCTTTGCTATACGGTAAGTGACGAATGGGTCATTGAAATGAATTTTTTAAAATTGATGTTCAATAATGATTGTATACGAAGAACGATTCTAAGCGAACACAGTTTAGATTAGCATAATATAACAAAGTATATATCGTGTTAATTTGTTTGATATTGCTATATCAGGTAAAGTGATTTATTTTGCTATTAGTATAATACACGTGCTGTAGGTAGTTTGAAATATGTATTTGAAAATACATATTATCATTATTGTGTATATAAAATATAATTTTACAAGTAAAAGCTTTTTGCCTATATGAATAATATTTTTGACTTAAAACAACATTATGAATATCATTATTCATGATTTAAATAAGTAATTTCATCCAAATTTGAACTTAAAATATCTATAAAAAAAATTATGCTCGTAACTTTTATTAGAAATTTAGTACTAGTATGAATTACATATGACTGTTATGAAGAACCTTACATTAAATTTTAAAAATTTTAAAAAATATCAAAAACTCTCGTATCTATAAATAGCATAACAAGAGTTGAAATATTTTCGAATTTGTTAAAAATTCAAGCATCCACAGTTATTTGTTCTCTAGTTACACCAAAAAAATAAAATCGATTTTGTCAAAAATTGGATTGACACAAAAATGTCTGTTTTTCTTTGATTAAATTTTTTTATTTTTCCAGATTATAAAAAAAATTATTTTGAATTTTGAATTTTAACTTCTCTATAATATAACTAGATCTAGTCTCAAGATTGAAAATTAAAATATTTTATCGACTACTCATTAGTCATTATATACTTATTATCATAAACATAAAAAAAGAAAAGAAAACGTACATAATTATAAAAAATCAATACATTCATTATTAATTCATTACTCTGCTCAGAATCCAAAACAAAATAATCGTTGACCGTTACGAGTACTATAAAGTACTTACACTATACTCTATATTTTAATTGTAATTAAGTAATTAATACGTTTTTCAAAATTAATTAAATTTAATACAGCGTACTAGCAGCTTCTAAAATACCTTGATTTTCGTACAACATGTATAAAAATTAATCTTAATATTTTTTAATGATAGTAAAATTATAATAAAAAAATATAATACAATATTATAATAAAATGTTTAATCCCATCAACAAATGTAATATGTTACAGAATAATAATTAGGCTAGGATTTATATGCAAAAATATGTTTTTTTGCAACTTTTAATTATTGCTTTTTTCAATCATGTCCACGTATGAGATAAATAGTGATGTTTTTATACTGCATATTATTGCATATTTCGACTACAAAAACGCAGAAAATTCATGTTTTATGTTATATTTTGTTAATAGACATTTTTATTGTGTGACAGTACGAAATGACGTTGTTCAAAATGATCTATGTAAAGAACAAATTAAGATGTAACAGACGGTCATTCAGTTTTGAAAATTTAAAACACTATGTAATTATTTTGTTTAATACATTTGAATTGCGTGAATAGTTAAAAATATTATTTTATTAACTTTAAAACTTATTTATTTATTTATTTTGCGTATGTATATTTCATATATTTTGGCGTTTATAATAATAATTGCATATTTTTGCATATTTTTAATCAACCAAATGTATACTTTACAATTGTTTATAACATATAAATGATAAATCTTAGCCTTAATAATAAATAATAATATTTAACATTTATTAAAAAATGTTTGAAAGACTATTTTATTTATCAAAAAAATATGTAGAATTATTGGTTAATTTGATTAATACTAATTCCATATAAAAACAATTTCATTGGTTTACTATACTTACTATGGTTTACTAAATTAATAGTAATGAGTACTTCATAATAAATCTATATGTATAAGTTATTGTAGTTACTTTTTTTTTATATAATTTATTAAATATCAATTTTTATAATTTAAAATCTAAAATTACTGTTGTTAAATACTATTTAACATTAATAATTAGAAATTACGACATCTTCTTGAAAGATTTAAATCTGATTTCCGTGAATGTTAACTTAAATATTTATAAATTTCACATTGTCTGTTAATTTATTATATACCCGCTCTTTTTATGTTAAGTGCAGTATAAAACATGGATAATAATATGTTATCTACAATGATTACAAATAAATCCAATAAACTATCTATTATAAATATTTTAAAGTAGGTATTTAATAAAACATATAAATCATCGGGAGAAAGTTGATAGTTTTTCAAATAAAAATGATACTATATCGTACAGAATTAAAGATGTTCTGAGTAAATATTTAACTTAAGTTGTACCTATACTCAACAAAATATAATAAATAAAACAATAGCTTGAATGAAGAAGTTATTTTAATAGTAATATTTATAAATTATCATTAAATTATATTTATTAGTTATATTATTTACTTAGCTATTTTGATTTTAATAAATCCTAATTAAATTGTTAATTTAATGAATTTAAATCATTTCTGTTTAGAATACTTTTAATTGTTTAAGAGCAAACGCCTAATTTATCTCTTTTATAGTTACTTTTCCAAAAAGTACTTTATTAATATATTTTGTTCTATGTAATTAATTATTTAGTTTGTAAGATTTTGTGAGTTGTTTAATTAAAAACTATGAATGGAGCTAGGAACTCTAGTAGTTAGTACCTATAGGTGAAATGATATTGATAACTAATAAGCTCAGTCTTTCCTCAACAATTACACTAAATTTCCGCTAATAAAAGTTCAAAAAATATATTTTTGAAGACCATATGAGTATAATAATATTACGTATGTTTCATAATGATTATATAACGCGGTGCCGTAATGTTGTTCATTACAATTTATAGTTTCGAATCGTATCGGTGATGTTAAACGCTAATCGTTTTCAGATAGGTACATACCAATAGACATTAACTCTTACTAAAAATATACCTCATAATTTTAAGGAAATACATTCCAAACATTTTCATATCAAATAAAAAAATATTTATCTATAAAAAAGCAATAAAAATAATTTTTAATTTGACAAGTCAACCAAGTTTTAACTTCACGTTTTAGTTGGGTTTATTAAATATTTTAATTTTAATTATTTGTATAATATATTATTATTATTATTTTGTGTGTGTGTGTAATACGACATGTAGCAGTAGGTACAACATTTGTTAAAATGCAATAAAAATAAATAAAACAAATAAAAGCTAGGTTTAATTAAATACCTTCTAAAGTATATATTATAATATCATAAATAACTTAATTTCGATTATATCAATTATAAAAAAATATCAAGTATAGTTTGAAATTATATAGGTTCTGGTGTGTACTAGCCCATAATTTTGTCATATTATATCCATATAGATACTATACAATATACTATATTATGATTAAGATTATAATTATATTCATCATCAGAGCGTAAAAATGAAAATAGTTCGTATTACCTACATGAAAAAGGTGGCTTTTACTTTATAATGTCTTGCCAATCGTATCTCTTAGTGTCATTAATTATCATATTATATGTAATTATTATTATATCTAGTGCACGTGTAGGTTTTAATCATAAATAAACTACTTAAAAACAATATAATGTATGTCGTTGTTAAATTAATACATTTCACCGTAATTTATCTGTGGTATAGGAGTACAGCAATCACTCTTGTTCAATGTTTGGTTGATGTGAAAATATATGCATCAGTATACTATTTTATGTTATACATAGTGATAAAGAATAAAGATTGGAATAGGTATTAAAAATGAAATCCAAATAGTGAATAGTTATTAGTGTTATCATCACGAAATTCATTGTCCGCTTGATCGAAAGTTATTTTTTAGACTCTCAAAGATTAGAACTTACATATTTATAAGACTTATGTATAATTTTTAAGTATATAATTTAATATAATTGTTTTTGTAACATCCTAGAATGGTAAAATATATATTATAGAAAGTTTCACAAAAATTAATGTTTTTTATTTAATCAAATATCTTGCAAGCTTCGGTGATTCTGTATGCTAACAGACTTTAGAAAGATATAAAAGACAAAAGTAAAACTATATACTTTACTTAAAACCAGTACAATAATACTTAATTTAATAT